GATATAGGAGACCTAGATTGCTGACTCGGCTCAACCGGCGTGACATATTTTGAAAATCCAAGATGGCGGCTCAACCGGGCAAAAATCACAGAGCGAGATACTGAAAAACCATGTTTTTTGCATTTTGCGTCGTCCTAAAGCTTCCGATCGCGTTCTATCACTTTATTTTGGAAAGAACTAACTAGTGTGAAGGTTTTGGATGAAAATTTGTACAATCAGTACAATTTTATACCATGGTTAATACAAATTACGATTCAACCGGGCAAGATTGGGCAGGCCTGCAGTTTCGCGCGCTTTTCGTCTTTAGTTTCTTCCTGTGTATTCCTTCAGTCTTTTACGAGTTTTTCTCAAGTAATATTATATATTTCTAACTATTCCAAAAGCTATTACTGTTTACTTTGTTCTTTCATTGTTATTTCGACCAAAATACAGTATTTTCATCTGAAAATTCTAGGGCTTCTATTCCATCTGGGTTTTTTTTATCGAAAAGAATGCTTGAAAGTCGGCCAGAATCGTGTTCAGTGTATTACTACAAGACAGACGTGGGATGTTATTCGATTTTCCTTCCATAAGTAAGTCTATGAAACACACACACATCACATATTTGTACACTATAAGTCTATAACTTACATCAGATAAACAGAATAATAATAGAATAAAAAGAATTTGTTTTGTAAATACTGTAATGACAACGTCACAACAAATGTAGTTTTGAGTTTGGCAGCTACAATATAAAACTATTTACCGTTTTAATAAAAGAATATTAGACCAAAAAAGAACTTCTTGTTTTGATGTCTGTGTTAGGAGAGTCTCTCTCTCTATATATGCATGTTGACAACAACTTTCCTTGTCCTGTTCAAAGTCAAAAATGTTTTAGTTTTATTCACATCAGTTAACCAAAAATACATCTTTCCCTTTGCACTATTGGATTTCCTATAACCAATCCCAGCCTGCTAAAAAATGAAATGGGCAGACTCAATGCCAATCAAATATTCATTCTTGTGTGAGAAACACTTCACACCGGATGATTATACTTCACACCCGATGATTATATTAATCCATGGTGTTGCAAGGTGCCCTTTATTATTTTACTCTGTCCAACGCCAGACAATTTTACTCATCAAGAGGAGAGCAGTGGCACTTAATGGGTTAACTGGCCTACCTGCAAATGTGTATAGTTAACCCATTGAGTCGTTTTGTGCCCTACTTAATTATTTTACTCTGGCTATGCCAGACAATTCTACTCGTAAGGGGAGAGTGCTGATGCTTGGGTCAGCTGTCTCAAGGCCCGGAGAGTGTCCGAAGAGAAGAATGCCGACTGCAGAGAGCAATCAATAAAATGCCAATCCAAGAAATATCTAAACGAAGATGCCGTCCCATCTATTTTTGATTATCAATGATGAATCAATCAGGTTTCTTGGAGAGAACTAGATACTAACTGTGAAGGTTTTTGATGCATACCAGACACATTAGGCAGTTTCTTCAAACTAGTTTCCATTGAAAACTTTCGTTGTCACTAGTTCTCTCTACAAACCTGATTGATTCATCACTTTTCACTGTCCAGGCCCTATAGACTTGAGATCCCTTGACATCTGCAGCAGCAAGGAGGTTGTCAAAGTCACACTAAACAGAGCATCAGAATTTTCGCACCAGCAGACCAAATAAATCAAGTAAAATAGGCTTTAACTTCAAAATACTTCACAGAATTATTCCTTGTTAAATATCCCAACCGAGATCCTCGAGAAAAAAAGCACCCAAAGAACCAAAACCTTTATTTTCTGCAACAAAATGTCTCGAACTGCTCAACCGACCATTGTGACGATTTCAGAAAACATTTAGCGATCGATTATTTCGTCTTTATTAAACTTAAATTGCACAAATATTCATCCAAAACCTTCACACCAGTTAGTTCTTTCCAAAATAAAGTGATATAACGGGATCGGAAGCTGTAGGACGACGCAAAATGCAAAAAACATGGTTTTTCCCTATCTCGCTCTATGATTTTTGCCCGGTTGAGCCGCCATTTTGAATGCTCATGAGTGTCACGCGCGTGCATTATAGAAAACATTAGAGTCAGCAATCTAGGTCTCCTATATCTATGCTTTAACCACTATGCTACCAACTTCGCCCCCTAACCACCATGCTACCGACTTCACCCCCTTAGCCACTATGCTATCAACTTCGCCCCTTTAACCACTATGCTACCAACTTCGCCCCCTAACCACCATGCTACCGACTTCACCCCCTTAGCCACTATGCTATCAACTTCGCCCCTTTAACCACTATGCTACCAACTTCGCCCCCTTAACCACTATGCTACCGACTTCACCCCCTTAGCCACTATGCTATCAACTTCGCCCCTTTAACCACTATGCTACCAACTTCGCCCCCTTACCACCATGCTACCGACTTCACCCACTTAGCCACTATGCTACCAACTTCCCCCATTTAACCACTATGCTGCCAACTTTGACCTCTTAACCACTATGCTACCAACTTCGCCCTATAACCTCTAAGCTACCAACTTTGCCCCCTAACCACTATGCTACTAACTTCGCCCCCGAAGCACAATGCTACCAACTTCGCCCCTAACCACTATGCTGCCAAATTCGCCCCTAACCACTATGCTACAAACTATGCTACCAACTTCGCCCTATAACCTCTAAGCTACAACTTTGGCCCCTAACCACCATGCTACCAACTTTGCCCCCTAACCACTATGCTACCAACGTCGTCTTCTAACCCCTATTCTGCCAAATTCGCCGCGTAAACACTATGCTACCATCATCCCCCTTTAACCACTTTGCTACCAACTTCGCCCGATAAACACTATGCTACCAACTTCACCCCTTAGCCACTATGCCACCCACTTCGCCTCATTAAATTAACCACTATGCTACCAACTTTGCCCTTTAACCACTATCTTGCCAACTTCGCCAAATTATTCGGTAAGGAACTGTATTAGCTTCAGAAATATCAAGTCGATAAATTTTGATTTGCTTCGTGCTGATATAAGAAAATCCTCCCTAATTGAAACACGTAACACTGCAATTGATAGCTTTTGCCCTTGTCGGCTCCGCTGGTAACGCCACTGGACACGCATGCAACTATTAAACAAAAATAGGTACGCTAGGCGTACATGTATCTGCGCAAAGGAAATCCGTGGTTGCTATGAAAAAATTTCATTCACAATTATTGAGTAAACATTTAAATTTCGAAGTGACTATACAGCTGGCAGCCAGCTATTTAGTAAACTGCCGGCTATATAGTGACTAAGAAAAAATGCTAAGTCAAACAAAACACAACCCGACCCAGACTGCGTTTCACTTTCCGCACACAGTGCCTATACCGTATACTCTAACAGCAAGCTCGATATAAGCTAGCGCAAACAAAAGTTTTTTATATTTAACTATAGTCACTATAATAAATACCCAGCTGCCGGCTAGTCACTTTGTTTATATTTGATGATATGACAAAGAATGTTCAGATTGCAGTCTCTTCTCTACTGCAATCAACTGTCAGTCAACTGCCAGTGGCAGACACTGGGGGGGGGGGGGCTGAGCCCCTCCTATAATTTTGATAAACTGTAAAAATCTTGTACCAAATAACACAAATCACACTTATATAATAGTACCATTAATTAAAACCTTGTAATTTAATACCATTAATTAAAACAGTGTTTTTAAAACCTAGTTTTTTACAAAATGTGTTCTCAGAATGCTGCAAATGCCATTTTCGAAGTAACATCTTAAAGCCTTTTCGTGAGTAACCATGCATTGATCACGAAAAGGCTTTAAGATGTTACTTCGGGCAATGATAAGCTTATTCATGACCGATACCATCATTTACAAAACTTGCCACATTCATTTACGGATTTTTTTATAGCAAATAGCCAAATTCACCAATAGTAATACAGTACCCGAAACTCGTCGAAACTTCATATGCATTGCCATTGAACTAATTATACTAAGCACTCACTCTCAGCTAAGGAGTGGATGTTCAGAATAATCTTGATGTTAGCTTGACAAAAATAACATCACTACCAATCTTTAAAAAAATCGAAAATACATAATTGACATTGTCAATACAATCTAGTGAACTTATATTTTAAACAAGGAAGTCTAATTCATATTCATGTAATTAACAGATTATGTCTTTATAGCTCTCCAAATTTTCTCCTTCTTATGTACTTTATTCTTACTAGTGAAAGCAATATTAATGTATTAATCTTCATATTCTTGTAAATACTTTTACTGGCACTGACACATGCAATATAAAACTTTGCACTGGACATTAAACTAGGGCCTTACCTTAAAAGCCTATGAAGGTTTCTTTAGACTCCTAGCCCCATTTAAAGTTGTAGCTTTAATACTTTTATGTAAATAATTACCATAATGATTGGGCGAAATAAATAAATTAATCTTCTAGGATAAAACAATCGTCACTCTGTAGAAAGCCGCCATCTTTGTTTTACGGCCTGTTCGCAGGCATACAGCCCTAATTAGTCGACCCGAGTGTTTAACGCACGCACAAACTCGATAGCATAGTATCTAGCGCTCCGCGCAGATACAAAAACTAAAAACAATGCGCCCAGTCACCTCATGGTATACTCCTGAAATTCAAGTACAGAAAGTCATAAAGAGGCGGTTGGAGCGTCGTTAGAAAATCACACAACTAACAGTTTATAGAGAACTATACACCCAAAAGTGCGTTGATGTTAATAGCCTTATCTAAATTGCAAAAACCAATTATTATAAAGAGATGATAAAAGACTGTGGGTCTGATCAAAGAGAACTCTTCAAGAAAATAGAGAGAATGTTTGATGGATCAGTGGAAAGAAATATCCACCAATATGTTACTAATTTGAACAAATTGCAAAAAATTTGCAGACTTTTTTGAAATTAAAATTGATGTCATTGATGCAGAAACACCACGGAGACATCACCACCAATGGAATGTGGAAAATTTAGATCCTTTGTACAGCTTGTCCTCACAAAAAAATGGCACACAAATCTTGTATCCTTGATCCTATTCCTGCTAAGATCTTATTGGAATGCTTGACTGATTTGCTACCGGTAATTACGAACGTAATTACTAATTCATTAGAAACAGCTATTGTACCTAGAAATCTAAAATGCGCGGCTCTGGAACCAAGGTTGAAGAAAGATAACATGAACACTGACGAATATTCCAGCTTTCGACCAATCTCAAATCTTAAGTTTGTGTTTAAATGCCTAGAGAAAGTGGTGGCAACTCAGTTAGGTAAACACATCATGAGAAACAACCTGGGTAAATCCCTCCAATCTGGATACAAAAAACACCAGCACTTAGACAAGCAATTGACAATCAAAATTCAGTGATCCTAGTTCTCCTCGATCTTTCCGTTGCATTTGGCACCGTAGACCATGAAATACTAATACGTAGACTCTCCTCGAGATCAAGTCAATTTATTGACCCCAAGTTAGAAACTTTACAATCGAAAAAAACACAAAAAAACACAACAACAAAAACATTAAAGTATATAAATAGTGGCAAGGTAGCCCGCAGAAAAACCAGAAGGCTTATACGACTTGGACTCCTTATTCATGAGTTTGATAGATCTGAAGGCAGCTTAGTATAAACATTATTAACAATTAATTACAATATTCATTTAGTCTAACAAATGGAGGAGTTAAAAAAGATAGATAGATAGATAGATTGATAGTTATCAATAAAATACTCAATAAGAATACAAACCTTAAACAGATTATTAATATAAGTATTAACTGAAAAACTGCTCAATTAAAGAGAAAACAGATAATTCTTCAATTTAGATTCAAAACAGTAAACAGACGATGCATCACGGATATTCTGATTACGTGAATTAAAAAATTTTGGAGCCTGATAAGTAACTGAAAATTGTCTAATTTTTGTTCTACAAAAAGGAATATGATACAAATCAGAATTACGTGTATCATATTTGTGAACTTGATTTGTACGTAGAAACAAATTATCGAAACTTCGAGGAAGCAGTTTGTTTTGGTATAAATACATAAATTTCCCTAGTTGAAGTAAATAAATATTATCAAATTTAAGAATCTCAAGCGCTTTAAAATGGGATCGGTGTGTGCGTCAAAAGCTTCCTTACTAACAATTCTAATTATACGTTTCTGAAGTAAAGTAATACAATTAAGATTCGTTGGATATGTAGAGGACCAAACAATGACACAATACTGCATATAAGGATAAACAAGTGAATAGTACAATTTAAATAAAGATACTTTAAAAAGGCAAAAACTTGCTTTGTATATGATACCTACTGATTTGGATATTCTCCTGGCAACATGTGAAATATGAGGTTTCCAAGATAAATGTTCATCTAGAATTACACCAAGAAAAACTACTTCCTTGACCTGATCAATTTTATGATTATTTAACCATATTGGCAAATCAATGCTATTCCTTTTCTATCTAGGTTTAAAGACAATATAATCGGATTTCTTAATATTTATTGACAACTTATTTGCCTTAAACCACTCAGACAATTTGTCAATTTCACGGTTGATTATATTCATTAAATGGGATTTGTCTTTCTGATAAATAAAATACATTGGTGTCATCAGCCAACCAAATCAAATCGAGAATATTTGAAACATTACAAAGATCATTGATATATAACAAAAACAAGAGTGGGCCAAGAATTGAACCTTGAGGCATTCCACACTGAATACTTTTAGATATGGAATAGGTATCATTATATTGAACGTATTGCAATCTATTACAGAAGTAGTTTTTTATCCAATCCAGAGCCAATCCTCGTAAATCATAATGTTCAAGTTTATCAAACAAAATGTCATGGTTAACGGTATCAAACGCTTTGGAGAGATCAAGAAAAATACCAATTGTAAATTCCTTCCGATCAATGGCTGATGTAATTTTATCATACAAATGCAACAAAGCCAGGGAAGTTGAATGATTTTTTCTAAAGCCGTAGTGATTGTCAAAAAGAATGTTGTGTTTGTTTATATAGTTAGTTATGCGATTGTATACAATTCTTTCTAACAATTTAGAGAAAATAGGTAAAACCGATACAGGCCTGTAATTTTGAACCAGTCTATGATCACCAGACTTAAATAGTGGTATAACTCGTGCTATTTTCATGAGATCAGGAACAATACCCGAAGAAATTTATAAATTGATAATATGGGTAAGGGGTTCAATAATAAGGTCAATAGATCCTTCACAGCAAATATCGGAATCTTATCAGAGCCTGCAGCCGTCCCTGGACGTAAAGAAATTACAATTTCTAGTACTTCTTGCTGGGTTGCTGGCTCCAGAAATAGGGAATTTACGAAGTTAGTGGAAAGATAAGAACGATGAGAAATAGTCGAGTCAGAAATTTTCCTAGATAAATTAACACCAATGTTTGCATGTAAAATAATCACAAAAATGATTTGCAATTTCATTTGAATTAGAGTTTCTTGATTGTCAAAAATAAATGTTGAAGGCAACCTACTGATACGTTTTTTCTTATTGATAACTTCATTTAAAATTCTCCATGTATTCTTGGTATTTGTCTTGAAGTTCTCTAATTGCTTATCATAGTAAAGGCGTTTAGCAATTCTTAAAGAATGGTTCAATTTATTTTTGTAATTTTTATAAGAAGCCTCATTAACATAATCTGGTGTATTTAAATATCTCTTATACAATTTATCTTTACGCCTTATTGACTTAAGAAGACCCTTACAAAGCCATGGTTTTGTAAGGGTACACTTTTTGTTCTTTTTTCTTTTTAGTGGGAAACAATTATTATAAATTTCTCGATATTTATTCAAGAAACATTCATAAGCTTTGGTCGGATCGTAGAATCCATCAAGATCAAGCCAAAATACACCATCTAAACAGTGACGAACCGAGACACATTCACTTCACTTTTATCACGATAGACAGTGTATGCGTCAACATCCATATCATGGAACTGATCGTGAGTAATATAAAATATTGGCAAGTGATCAGAAATGTCATAAAGTAATAAGCCGCTAAACGAATAATTATCTGGGTGATTGGTAAATATGTTGTCAATAAGTGTAGCTATGTGTGATGTTATTCTTGTAGGAAGCGTTATTACAGGAAAAAACATGTTAGCATACATTATATCCAAAAATCCCCCTGTGAATTGATGACTTTGATGGTTAAGGAAATTTAAATTAAAATCGCCCATCAAATAACAGACTTTGTTTACTTTAGAAATTCTTGCCATAAGTATATTGAGATTGGTTATAAAATCAGCAATATTTTGACTAGGAGGCCTATAAACAATGCCAACAATACTGTTTTTTCCCTCAACACTGATTATTTCAATAAATAAAGATTCGATATTTAACTGATCAGGAAAGGCGAAGTCATTACGAAGTTTATAATCTAAGTCTGTTGTTAAATATAACCCAACACTACCCCCAGATCTATCAGATCGATTGCTATGCACAAAGTTATAACCGTCAATGTCAGCGGCATGAGATGAATCTCGAACCCAGGTTTCAGAAATACCAATAATTGAGAACTTATTATTAATGGAAGCTAACAGAGTTGTCAAGCTATTGAAATTTCGGTTAATACTTCATATATTTAAGTGAGTTAGCGATAAACAATCGGAATACGAGGCTTTTTTTTTGCCAACATCTCATTTAAACTGTTTTCAATATAATAATCACAATTAAATACATCAGAAAAGAAATTATAATCCGGATCTATATTGCTAGATAAAGCTATGTTATTGTGGTTGTCAAAAGATAACGGATTAAACTTTAAGAAAGAAAGCCTGTCAGCTTCAAAATTCACCGGACCGTTTGACATCTCATACATAGCTTATTGAAAACTATCCTCATCTAAGTGATTAATAAAAGGGAAATCGTTGTAGTTAAATGAAGCGAAAATAACACAAAATTAAACAAAGAAATAACTTATCTGAATTAATGAGAAGAATATTCACGTTACACTATGTTGGCGAGTATAGTTGGCATTGAAATCGTCAAACTCCTTCATTGATGTAAATGCATGAACTTCCGACGAACGATTCTCATCTTTCTTGCGCAAAATTTTTTGAATTTCTTGACTTCAGCTAATATTGCACGACATTGGGCGGTAAGGCTATCGTTAATATAAAGACAATTTTCCTGTAGGAAGCCAAGATCCAAAGAGCTTTTCGAGCTAAAATTTCGCTTTCTTGGTAAATAGCATCGCTTGTGTTACGTCTGGTAAATTTGGCTATAGTCGGTTTAATATTCCCCTCAGCCGCGGGCAAGCGATGACTTATTGATATTTTGGTCTGGTTAAGATTCAATTCTGGAGCAACAAGTTGGACGACGTTCTGCACGATAGTATCTGTATTCCTGTCTCGGGACTCAGGGACTCCATGTATCTCGAGCAAATCTCTTCTCAAGTACTTTTTACATTCTCAACTTCTGACTCTGCCGAAGTAAACTGCATTTCTAACACTTCAACACGTTGACTTAGCTGCGCATTGTGTTTAGTTCTTCGTTCTCATTCTTAAGGTCGTTTATCGAGGCCCCCAGACCATCAAACTTAGAACCAAGAAAGTCTTGGCTTTTCTTGATTTGATCTAAATCAGTCTTTGTCGTTCTTGAGAACTTTAGAAAAAGGTCGTTAATCTGTTCGGTCTGCTGTCTCAAGCGTCGGTTAAGGAGATTTTCCAAGCCAGCGGGAAGGGCCGCCATATTGAGCTTCTCGTCACTTGATTCTTGTGCAGATTCAATACTCGAATCGCTTGACTTTTGTTTGTTTTTCTTCGGAGGCATTCTTTATTTGAATGAATTGACTTTGAAGGTAAATATAGGATGGCTAAAACCTATCCGAAGATTTGAAATATTTGTTATCAACTCGTTTAGTAGGAGCACTTTTTACGGGCTCCGACTGCTGCCACTGCTGCGGTAAACCCAATGACATGCAATTACCGGAAAGGTTCATGAACGGTTTAAATCATATTTTGATGGAAGATCATTTACGGTACATACTTGGGATGGCCATTCTACTAAGCGGACTATACGATCTGGTGTCCCTCAGGGGAACATTTTGGGACCAATGCTCTTCTCCCTCTATATTGCACCAATAACATAAATTATGCGATCATTAGGCATTGATTACCATTTTTATACTGATGACACACAATTATACATTACCTTCAAATCGACCGATTCAAGTAAATTAGTTAAGCAAAGTTAAAAATTGAAGACTGTACTAGAAAAATAAATAAATGGCTATCTGCGAATAAACTGGAATTAAACAGTGATAAAACAGATATGTTGTTGCTATCGTCTCGAGCTCGCTATCGCCCGTGTCAATTTTCGTTCCCCGTAACTGTTTGTGACGAAGCTATTGATCTATCCCCAAAGGGAAGGAATATTGGAGTGATGATGGACTCACACTTAACAATGGAAACCCAAGTAATAACTGTGTGCAAATCCGAATTTTACTATCTGACAAAATTAAGTAAAATAGGGAAATATCTAATTAGCCTTGAATTTGCTAAAACTTTATGGTAACATCTCGATTGGTAGCCATTATGCTACCAACTTCACCTCATTAACCATTATGCAACCAACTTCACCCAATCACCACTATGGTACCAACTTCGCCCCCTAACCACTATGCTACCAACTTCGCCCCTAACCAGCATGCTACCAACTTCGACCATTAACTACTATGCTGCTAACTTTGCCCCCTCAACCACTATGCTACCAATTTCACCCCTTTAACCACTATGCCACCAACTAGGTCCCATAATCATTATGCTACCAACTTCGCCCCCTAACCACTATGCTACTAATATCTCATAGTAAAAACGTTTTGGAGGAAAGAAGCTTACCGGACTATCTCTGGCAACACCCTCCAGTATTGCAAAGAGATCAGTGAATCCAATGGCAATACACAAACTGAGCAAAACTTTGACACGAGGTGATTTAAAATGTTTCCAGAAACAAACATGTAGAAGAAAGGTAAGCGTGATGCCGACCAACGATATTGAACAGCCAATGGTGGAAATCGTTTCTAATATTTTACGTTCAGTCTCTGTTGGCTGAAAAAAGGAAAATTCTTATCAAATATTGTGTAAAGTTTGTGATCGGATAAATTCGAAACCGTACTAAAATTTATACTATTGCAGTGCCCAAATCAAGTAAGGTATCGCTTTGTATTTGTTACATAGTTAGTTGTTATTCTGTTAGTTTGTTAGTCGGCTACTTTCGTCAGAATCAAAATTCTTGGTATTTTTGAAAGTTATATGTCTTTGCGCTCGCGGTGATCTAGTTTGCGCACGCTCTGATCTAGTTTGGAGACCTCGTTCTAGTACTGTCTGGTTTCGCCTTTCGTTCACACAAGAGCCATAAAGCCAAATCACTACTGTGTCTGGTCACATGAGAGACACGAAACCAGTATTATGTCTAGATCTAGTTTTACCTTTCGTTTGCATGATAGACACAAACCCAAAGGAATTTGAACAAAACTAGCTGCACCAATTTCCTTGTGAACAAATGTAACTGGGTGAACAAATTTGCGTACGGTTGCGAATTTGCCCGATGTCGTATGAACGCAGTCTAAGATTGATGACACAACGAGTCTCAACAAAAGATTTTCAATTCCCGAAACCTGTCCTTAAATTTTATTATTCTCCGCAGATTTTCTCCACCTCACCTCCAGAAACTTCTTAAGTTAAGGACATATTCTCATGTTTCCCGTACAATAATTTAAGGGTCAGGCTTAAGCTTCTAACAAGAGTATAAACGAGATGGTCAATGAAAAAATATTCGTACGCTAAAGGTGACGGCATTAGCCAGATTCTTGGAAACCAGAATCCAGCAATTTTCTTCCTCTCATCTCGTTTTGTTTTACTAAAATAAACGTTATCCCAAGACACACTTGACACCACAATTTTTACGCCTGTTTTCTGTTGCAAACTTAAGCGGTGTTTATACGAAGCCGGGCTGGCCCGGTCAGTTTACTGGAATGATTTCTTTAATAAGGCTGTTATCACCGATATAATTTTGATAAATATCCAAAATGACATTTCAAAGCTGAATTAGCTTAGTCGGTTATGAAGTTCATTCAGACGATCTTCTATCATGACACTGTTCATCCCGGCTGGCTGGGCTGCCTAAATCGTATGAACAGTCCATTATAGCAACAAATGTTATTGCTATGCTTGTAGTTCAAGCAAATGAATGCGATTACCGAAGAAGATGCACTCACAACCCAACATTTTGAGCGTATTTCTAGTTCGGGGTCATTGGTGCGGAACAAATAACGGCGAAACAAAGCGCTATATATAGCACGTTTCGAATCCGCTGGAGTGGAAAACAGGTTGATATTACTAACTATTCCAGTAGTACCATGGCAATCTCTAGCCCTACGAATTTCTTGGACGGAAAACATGGCTGAGAGTGTAGAAGAATTTTTAATCGTATTTTAAACATGGAAAAGGCTCGTTATACAGTTATCACGGGATATTGGCCAGGATATATAAATATAATGACATAGAACTTCCCCAGACCTTCGCAGTAGACAACAACGTACGTGGAAATAGTATTCCTCCTTTTATTAAAAAACACACTACGTTATACAAAACACGTTTCTTAACACAAATCCCTTACAGTACACTGCAAAAAACGTCTAGCCTTTAACATTGTTGTCGGAAACAATCCTGAACAATATTTTGCTCCCCATATTGTTCCTGGTTGTTAAAAATATTGTTCAGCTTCGTTCAGGTAAAATGCTGAACAATATTGTTAACAACCAGGAAAAATATGGGCAGCAAAATATTGTTCAGGTCTGTTTTCAACAACATTGTTACAAGCTAGGCGTTTTCAACTGTATAGTAGGATTCACTCACTGGTGCTACACTTAGCTTAATTAAACTGAAGTGATTTATACATCTTACCTGCACATCCGCAACATCCATCATAATAGCAAAAGCAGTGTTATGATCACAATCACAGATAACATTTTTCTCACTCGATTCAGCTTCATTCAATGTACATCCTTCACTGCTCCATATGCTGTTGTTTATTTCAGGCTCAATAAACGCACACGTTCGTCTTGGGTCTTCAAAACCAGTCTGATAAATATATATATATATATATATATATATATATATATATATATATATATATATATATATATATATATATATATATATATATATGTACTGTTTAATAAACGAGTAGTAGTGTTTTATCACATATAAAACACGACGCGTAGCGGAGTGTTTTATATGTGATAAAACACGAATTACGAGTTTATTAAACAGCTTCAAAAACGTCTCAGTTAGATCACGGCATTGGCGAAATAATTTTCCAAAATAACTTTGTATTAGCTGAGAAAATACAAGTTGAAATTTGAAGCGTGTTTTATCACATATAAAGACACGCCACGCTTATGATTTCTCTTTGTGTTTTTCTCATGAATTATTAATGAGTTTCTGAAATATATATATATATATATATATATATATATATATATATATATATATATATATATATATATATATATATATATATATATATATATATATATATATTATACCTCACAATGAGCTTGTCCAATCAGAGAACTAAATTTGTACCACATGACCAAGGTATTTTTCAGCGAATACTGTGACCTAGGCAATTTGAACCCTGGGTGTTTTACCCGGGGCCATGGTATTCGACTTCGAATACCACGCTTGAGCGGGAAATTCGACTTTTTTAAATGTAAAGTTATCAAAAGTTGTGTTTTGAAATTAAAAGTTAATTGAATGGTATTTGTTTTCTACTTATTTTTGAAAGGTTCGGTATAATATACCATTTATAGACCTTTCACTCGGGGTATTCCACAAAAAATTACCCTGCGGGATGAAATATTCCTCGGGCTTCGCCCTCGGAATATTTCATCCCTCAGGGTAATTTTTTGTGGAATACCCCTCGTTTCAGGTCTATAACTGATAAATCGCTGAGTGCGATCATCAGGTGACGGTGTTACAAGTGACGGTTGAATCTTTGAATTATACGCGCGATGGCACAGCGTGCGCACGTTCAAACTTTCCAGACTCAATTTTAAGTTAAAATACTATTTGCTCTGTTAAATTCTTGATGATGAGCACTCTTTTTACACTATATAATTAAAATATATATATATATATATATATATATATATATATATATATATATATATATATATATATATATATATATATATATATATATATATATATATACTTAAAATACTCATTAATAATACAAGAAGAAAATTCAAAAGAAATGGATGTTTAATCAATGTTTGTAAATCCGGTAAAAATCTATCCTGATTTACATGAACTTCAGCTTTTATTTTCTTGGCTTAGACAATGTTAATTTTTAAAATTACTTCGCCAATGAACTCATATAAGATGGGTCGTTTTTTTAGTACGTTAAAACATGAGAATCCTATCTTTATCTGATATACAAACTCTCGCCTTCAGTTACACTTTGTATATCAGGTAAGGATCGGATACTCATGCATGTTTTAACTAGTACATATAGTATTTCGACTATAAAACTATACTGAATACAATGCTACAGTTAATGACGAACTACAGTTATGAAAGTTTACAATTTTAAAATGAGAACTAAAAGCTTTCGATTAATGTTAAGAATCAAAACGTAAACTATATTGAATAAATGATTTGCTATTACTTTCCACAAAATATGAAACAAAGACAAACATAATTAATAAAAGTTCATTTCGTTATTCAAAACTTACAACTGCCTTTAGTTGCTTGACTATATACATCTATAAATGTTTTTAAATTCTTCAGACCGTCATTTGTTCTGTTTTGGGGTTTTGACGAAGAGAAGTCTTTGCATAATTCCCTCGAAACTATATCTGTTACGTAATTGTCCATGGTTGAATATCCAGTCAGAATACTGGATTTTGTAAAAGACGTGCGTATGCACTAACAAGAAATACACCCTTCCTTAACTCCTAAGAATAACAGTTTAGAACCGATTTAAGATACTTAATACGCGCCGATCTTTCCTCATCTCGTTTGGCCATTTTGTAGAATTGACAAGTTTGGTTTCATTTCATGCATTTTCGGCCCCCTTAATTAAGTTAAAAGCTTTTTCGGCCCGTTAAAGTCCTTCTCTGGAAGAGGCATGGCACCTTGCCAGCACGCCAATGTTTAGAACTGATAAAGGGCTTTTCATTAATCATCCAACCATGGAGAAAATCACACGCAATAACACCTACGCCCGTATTCTAAAAGGTCACTCACACTCGCACTCAATGAGTGGAGGTTCAATCTGAGCCTCTCTTGAGTGTCAATGCTCTGTTTGAATAGCTGGAGCGTTAGTAGTCACATAGAAAGGTATGACATTAGCCCTCCAGCTATTCAAAAACAGCAATGACACGCGAGAGAAGCTCAGATTGAACTTCCACTCATTGAGTGTGAGTGAGCTTTTGAATACGGGCGTTACAAACACTCAATTCATACCTGGTTATTCTGTAGTATAATCTTAAAAGGTTTAGACACCGACTCATTAAACCCTGGTTTGGTTATGAAAGATACAATAGTACTTCTGATTGTCAACGATTCAGTCGATCCTATAGTATTATCCACGGATTTTTTCAGATCCTCGTCAGATAAAATATCCTTGATTGAACTGTACTTCACTACGGTTGCTTGTTGTAATTCATTGGTTACAAGTCCGGGTATAATCACGCCCTCTCCATCTGTGTCCAGCAAGCTGATATCTTTAGCTTGAAGTATTCCACGTAGAAGTATTCCAAGCACTTCTATGTTGGGTGTACTATATGAAACAATTTTTCCAATTTCCGCATTCCCTGAGATGTAGTTCCTCGCATTCAGATCCGTGCCACTGATAACCTGCTTCGCTAAATTATTTCTAAACTGGAATACAAAAACAGTTTTGAGCGAGATATATTTTTAAACTCATTAATATTTTACAAGCAAAACACAACAACGTCGTGTCTTGATACTACAATAACAAATTTGCGTAAATAAGTCAACTTTCATGTTGAATTTCTCTTTTAATAAATAACGCAAATTATTTGTGACCATAATTGAATGAAGCAAAGTGTGGTATCTTGGAAGTAAGGACTACCAGAAAAGCTGGAGAAACAACATCAGGGTTAAAGCGAGGTCTCTCGCCGTTACGGACATATAATTTCAGCATGTTCGAGCCGGGCTTTCGCGTAGTGGAGTGACTGATCGATATAGATGCGAAGATCAGGGAGAGAGAAAGGGCCCAGCCGTTATGGACTTTGCTTTCATTTCGTGTATGATATGCTACTAACTAATATTTACTATGGCAAAGAAAATGTTACCCTATAGCTATGACGCTCTCAAGAGATAAGTCAGAAAAAAAATATGTGCCGGCATATTAATTTCCGTTTATTACCTTTCCTAACTGGAATTTGCTACGCTTACTATCTAGGACTTATTGCGCATAATCCGGACATAAAAAATGACCAAAGCACAATTGAGATTTCAAAAGTGTATAGATCACACAGAAAAGTGAGCGACTGAACTTTGGACATAGGCGGGGTGTGGTGTCCTACTGCGTTCTGCAACTTTAAAATACTTGAATGTCGTTTTACCGATATAGTCATCCATACATTCTTTCTCTTCTGACTCACTATATTACTTGATGAGCGAATAAATTGCTGACGATCCTTTTGAGTTTTCGTTCTGTGCTTTGTGTTCTCTAAAACCTCTTGAACAATGTCTTGAATATCTCTTGCATAAAGGTCATCGACTTCTGAGATTCGTTTAGTTTCTTCCAAAATGTCACTAATATTCTTCGATTGAAAGCCCTGGACCAGCCTTGAAATCTTAAAAGTGGATATCAGTCAAGTATGGTCGTTAATTACAAATGTATTGATAGTTATGGCAGTGATTCAAATATTTTCAATTACATGTATTTGCCACCAAACGGAAATTTAAAACATGTAGTGGACAATTTAGTGACTCTGACAATTGTCTCATCACAACAATGTGCCGTAATGTCTAATTTTGTAACCCAGCTATATATGAGATTACTCATTTTATGAACATACGCACATCCACACACAACTACAAGTGAAGCAATGTAGTTATAGCTTTGTTCAGATAATTAAAGGTGAAGGTCAGATGCAGATAATTAGTATTCTACGATCATTGATGCCAAATATGACCCCCAGACACGCTTGTTTATATTATGATTGATTGGGTCATTGAGTGGAATGAACGCTCTCGTATGCGTGACAAGATTGGGAAGTCTGGCTTTAAATTTCCGGTTGGAAGTAGCATATCAGGTTGGAAAACGATATCTCAAACATATAGGTTTCAAGATTAGGTAGTATTATGCAATGAGATGCCGTAACTTATATCTTAACTACCTGAAAAAATCAAGTAAATTACCTACAACTTCTCGTTAATCTTCTGTTAGTTAAGACACAATTACGATTATAAGTTCAATTAATCATACAGTTAAATTCTACTTTGACAATCACCTCATCAACAAGATTGATGACGACAGGACTTCTACAGTTGAAAAAACTCACATCGCCCCAGACAGGCCGACCATTAATACTGTTGCAAATTCGTCTCACATTTCCTGTAAATAAAATTGTTTAGAATGTTTAGCCCAGTGATTCACCTTTCACCTCTATGAACAACTTTTCATTCCTGCAAAATGCTACACCAGGCAGAAGTTTAACCTGAAATAAGTGCCAAAGTCACCTAACGCTCGCCTGCATGAGTGACCTCAGAGGATAAAAAAACTGCATATTTCTTTGTATATGCAACGAAAAAATATATGTATTTTGATACGACTCAACGAAAACATGTGACCTATAAAAAATAAATACACAAGCACTATGAAAACAGTCACTATCCTATAACATACGATATTTTATCGTAATTTTTCGTATTTCAGGATCAACGACATGAAATATTTCATGCACTGGCTGCTAGACCGACATGCAATAAACAAAATAGGAAAAAATTTTAGGATCAACGACATGAAATATTGCACGTAACTTTTAATATATATTGTTCAGTAATTTCCAAGTATACCCTCTCAGGTGCGTTAATGACTGGGTCAAAAAGTTATTAGTTTCCAGTGCCTTTTGGGAAAGTAGCGAATTTAGGCGTACAATTTCCGTCTTTTTTTTCGAACATGGCGTCGATGAGAGTGGTGTTTATTTTATATGATAAATCGAAGATTTTGGCAAGAAACTGTTTCTGTATTAATGCCGATCGTGATTATAGTTTGTTTAAAGGTTTGTATTCTATTTATTGGTACTGTTTTCAGAGTGTAACCTTTAAGGCTTTGTAGTTCCACTTTGTTTTATATTATATTTCATGGCACTAATATTATATAAAATTCCATAATACTGTCATTGAAAGTCAGTATTAGGAAGGATTATAGCTTGTGTTTATACTAATTCTAACAATGGCCATAGCCCAAATTCACAGGTCGCTAGTAAACAGATTTACTCACAAAATTCTAGGAGTAAATCATGTCTTACCTGCTGAGAGTTGCACTTTAAAGTGAGCCAACCAGATGTCCTGATACATTCCATATAAACATATAAATTTAATAGTGGCAGCAAGCTACTGTATGTTCTAAAATCCATTCCAAATCATTCTATAATTTTTACCAAGAACCAAACACAAGACTGTGGAGACAAGTACGCTTGTTATGGCCTTGTCTCCATTTGTTTTAATACATTTAATTGAAGAATAAATTTCATATGATACAAATATTTACATCTTGTGGTGTATTCACTCATTTTGGTGCTCTTTATTAAAATATCTAGGACTTCAAGGTCCTAAGAATGGCGAGAGCCTACTTACATTTCAGTACTATTCAAACCTATTTCATGTTTCATTAGATCTGGATAGCTATTCAATATATACTGTGTATATCCATATTTAACCCATTGAGTCGCAATGCGCTCCAATGCGCCCTACTTATATTTTTTAACTTGTCAAAGGCCAGATGATTTTACTTGCCATTGAGCCGCAATGCACCCCTCTGTGCCCTACTTTTTTTTACTTGTCTAATGCATGATGATTTTACTTGTCAATGGGAAGCTCTGCAGCTTAATGGCTTAAAGTAGCATGATATAAATTTTTGCCCAGTGCAGTCGACTTTGTATTATTATTGATTTTATAATGTTAATAGTGTTGTATTTAATTTTAATGCTATGTAATTATACTGCATTTTAATAATAGTAAATTTGTTCATGATGTATTTATAGAACTCTATTAGTTAAAAACACAGTTAAGATTGAACTGGCTGCCGAAAGACACAATATCTTGACAACCTGCTGCCGAAAAACGGTTCATCTTGACCGCACAAGAGTTTTCACTATGGCTGTGTTTCACATAGTTTATACAAGCTATTAGATTTTATTAAGTTATTTATATTATTTAAACAAGGTATACGCATTAATTCCTTGTATGTTAGGCTACAGTAGCTATATATTTAGAAAATACTGGACTAATAAAAACACAGTCAAGATCCAACTGGTTGCCGAAAGACACAATATCTTGACAACCTGCTGCCGAAAGACGATTCATCTTGACAGCACAAGAGTTTTCACTAGGACTGTGTTTCACATAATTTATACAAGTTATTAGATTTTATTAAGTTGTTCATAATATTTAAATAGGTTACTCATTAATTCCTTGCCACAACCTGTTGCCAAGTTATGCAGTTAATGCCCCACACTTTCCCTTTGAGCACTAAAATCATCTAGCATTAGACAGAGTAAAATAACAAAGTAGAGCACATTCAAACTTAATTAGTTAAATATTATCCTGGTTATCAATCTTGTTTACTCTATCCAACTTAATTAACTTTTGATTTATACTTCATTTTGTAGAGCCTCTTTAATGCATCTCAGCTGTGGATTTTCTCTGCATTCAACATGGTCAATAATTTCAAAAGAGTGGGCTTTTTTTGTGGGGTTAATATCAGTAGCTGCATTTGCTAACTGTAATAGGATTGTGCTGCTGATTTTCTTCCCAGTTGTAACACAAGATCCGTTCAAGACTTCTGGTGCAATGTGTTTGTACACTTCCCTGTATTTCATCGCCATTGGTCAAGAGATTTTCCAAACTTTCCCGAAGTCAATTATGTATCCCTTGTTTTGTGCAACCAACACATTATTGGACTTCAAGCCACAGTGAAGATATCCTCTTTGGTGCATGTGGTCAAGTGCATCAGTGATGTCATAACATATGCAGAGTCATGTTTTGGTTGACATTTCTGAAGCTTGATGTTGGTACAGTGAATCAAATAGCAACTTGAACAATGTTATAGACTGACTGTTCTCCCCAATAAATTGCATTATCAGGGAGATTGACTTTTTGTCTAGCTGCACCCCAAGTAACAATGGGATACATATGTGTGACAATTTTGGCAAAAATATTGCTTCTTTATATAGCATATCTGTCTGTCAACTGCTTTTCAACAACTGTTATTCCTAATCTAATGAATTTTTTAGGGAAGCAATTGCCAAAAACTCCATTCCCTATTGATTCATTGCTCATTTCCTCCAATCTTTCATGTTGAATAGTTGTAATATCCACTGTACAAGTACTTGAGCTGGACATGTTCAACTGAGTTACCTTTAATTTGAAATTTAATGACTGTTTATTAGTGATTTGTATGGCCATACCGGGTTTTGTAATCAAGGGGTATTGAACTTGGTTGGGTTGATGGATTTTTTTATAGCTTTATATTTATATTTTAGTTCCTTAATTTTATCTTAGCTAATAGTGTGTGACCAACAAACCCTTTGATATAGTTTACAGTATGTCATGATTCTCTTCTTGGCAGGAAGTCTCATTCTCAAAAATCGTAAGCAAATTGGTGAAATTGACTTTCATCTTGACTCATCAGAATGAGGCTTTCAGGCAAAGGAAATGAATATATATTTATTTATTTATTTAGCTTCGCCTTGACAAAAAACGTACACAATACAAGTACAACAATTTATATACACGAGACATAAAAAAAGGCGGGGACACCACAACAGTTTACACCAATTACTGTGGGCCCTTTAGTTGGAATTAGTGACAAAATACAGACGAAAAAAAATCAACTAATTAGTCTAGTAGCAACAGGGATCGGCATCGATTAGATTACGCGATGTGTTGCACTTCAGGCAAACAGTTTTCCAGGTTCGAGCATCATCCACGTCGTAACAAGATACAAGGGCATTATGGTAGTATCCTAATAGTAACTTTTTAAATAACGTTAGAGATAAATTATCTAGTCTTAAGTGTTCGGGTAAGGAGTTCCAGGTTCTAGTTGCTCTAATAAAAAATGACCGTTGATAGGTGGCTGTCTTACATCTACGAGGACGGTACGAGATAACACTGTTATTGGAAGATGATCGAGTAGGCCTTGAGGGAGTAGATCGTTTTGGCAAGATTTCCTTCGGAACAGTTATAATACCGTTTATGGCCTTAAAAAAGAACATCAAGTCAAGATACTCATGCCAATAAGAGACTGGTAACAGATTTATAGACATCAGTCTGTCTTTGTAGGATTCTGTACACGTGAAGGGCAGCTTAAGGATAAATTTCGAAGCTCGACGTTGAACGCGCTCTGACTTTCTGACTAGTTCAATTGACTGCGGTATATACCTGTATAGCCAAATCAAAAAAGGTGTCCTTTCCAAACCTTAAACTCTAAGTGTGCAAAGCTTAATGGGAGCACAAGTTTCAGCTTTCAAACTTATAGTATTTGAATATTGCAGCTATTTGTGAATGAATTGTTCTCGTAAGGAGATGTTCACCATGTCTCTAAGAAATAGGCCCATCTATGATTTATAAACAGATTAAATGATGCTTGGCCTCCCATTATGCTTTGCACGTTTAGAGTTTAAGGTTTTGAGTTTAAGGTTTGCAAAGGACAACCTTTTCTGAATTAGCTGTACAAATATAGGTAATGGCATATGGATATGGACATACTGTAAACCTCCGAATATGAGCTCTGGGCTTATATTCGTTTGTACATGTTTTTGATGGGCTTATACACAGGGGAGCTTATATAGGGGGGAGGGGGCTTACACATGGACAACATTTTGTGTTAGTGTAATAGTGATTTTTGTGTTAGTGTATAATAGTGATAAACAAATGTGGGGGGGCATGCATATATTTGGAATGGTGTGAATTTCAGTAATGTGATGGGCTTGTACGGGGGTATTCGGGGGGGGGGGGCTTATTATCAGCTTGGTG